GGTGGCGTTGTGGGTTAAACCACAGAGCCTAGGACTTGCTGATCAGAAGGTCGGCAGTTCAAAGCCCCGCGACGGGGTGAGCTCCCATTGCTCGGTCCCAGCTCCTGCCAACCTAGCTGTACGCCGGCTCCCTTGGCCAATAAAGCGAGATGAGCGCCGCAACCTGAGTCGGTCACGACTGGACCTAATGGTCAAGGGTCCCTTTACCTTTACCTTTAATGGCACTGAAAAAAATAGCACAGAAGAAATACGAGCTCACCTGTATCATTGATGAAAATGTAATTGCATGGCGAATACACTAAAGGGGTACAAAATATTGTTTACAGAAAGATTAACTGCTGAGAATGTTTGTGTCTAGGTTGTAACTTTGTCATCTGCAGCAATTATTATTACGGATTCAATCCTGTATACGCATCCCTGGGAGTAAGTCGGAAACCCCCCGATGAGGCTTACTTCTGAGTAGGCATGACTAGGATTGCACTCTTCAGGCTGCCACTTGATTAAGGACTTTTTGGTTGATGAACCACCTGTCCTTTAACTGATGAATTATTTCATTAAATTCAAATAAATTAGCATATAATCAGAGCCTCAGCGAAGATGCCTTTTTGAGATGCTGATGGAGGCAGAGGAGGAGGAGGATTTGCAGTTTGATAAACTACCCACTGCTGGAAGAAAAGTCCATCTTTAATATGTGGTCTAAACCACTGAGCCTTGGGCTTGCCAATCAGAAGGTCAGTGGTTCAAAACCCCGTGACGGGGTGAGCTCCCGTTGCTCGGTCCCTGCTTCTGCCAACCTAGCAGTTCGAAAGCACACCAAAGTGCAAGTAGATAAATAGGTACCACTCCGGCAGGAAGGTAAACGGCATTTCCGTGCGCTGCTCTGGTTTCACCAGAAGCAGCTTAGTCATGCTGGCCACATGACCCGGAAAAACTGTCTGCGGACAAACACCAGCTCCCTCGGCCAGTAAAGCGAGATGAGCGCCGCAACCCCAGAGTCGTTTGCGACTAGACCTTTTTACTCATTCCCTATTGCAGCAACCAACCAGAAGCAAAGCAACTTGCAAAAGTGAAGCATTCTTTGCTCCCATCACTGCCAATTTCAATTCATCTTCAGCTAGGAATTCATTAATCTGGGATCTACTTACCTGGTAACTGAAATCAATGGGGCTTACTTCTCCGTAGACCTCCAGAGGCCTTTCTGAGCTGGAGCTTGAATAAACTACCCAGAAGTTCGGTATTTAATGTGTGCTTCCTTTCAGATGAACTCTTTTTTTTTTTTTTAAAGCAAAACTAAGCTACTTGTGGGACCATAAAAAGCAGGTTGTAACACAAAGGACCATATACAACAATTAGGTATGGAAGGATCTTTCTGTTCTGGTTCTCTCAGTTTCTCTTTCTTCCGATCTTAAATTCAGTTCTCCACATTTGTGATTTTTTTTTTTTAAATCCTCATTAAAACTCATCAGCATTCAGTGTGAATTTCTCATTTTTATGTGTTTTGACTCAGGGACACATTTCCCCCTAGTGTAATGCATTTCTGTATGTTGTTTTCAAGAAATTCTTTATTTTTATGCACACTTTCCTCTAGTAAATGTGTTTTAGTAAGCACTGGGTCAGATTCAACTAACCTGTTCTGAAGTTAGCACAATAACTCCTGCTAGTGTAATAGGGTTTCTCTCTCCCCCCACCCCCGGTGTGCCCACAAATCTCCCCCAAATCTGCTGGGGGGGGGCAATTGGGGAAACTCCCAGAAGAGCATGCAGAGGGAGGAGAGGGAAGACCTGTCTGTCTGGCAAGCAGAAATTCCTCACAGAAACATCCCCTTAGCACTATGTTCTAATCCACCCATGGTTTGGGTTGGAGAACTTCTTTGCAAAATTCAGGTAAGTGAAAATTTTGAAGGACGGCTCTGTTTCGGACTTGCATATTGCTTGGGAAAGTGCCGATTTGATAAATTTGGCTGTCAAAATATGCAAAATAAAACCCAGATATTCGTTGAAAAATCTGCAATTGTACCACTTCCACAATGCACTTTCCAGCCCAGTAATGTATACTTTAGTCAAACTAATATACAAAAATCTGTTACGGGAGGGGAAATTGCTTTGCAAAAGTGTGCGTATTAGGGGAAACTGCGTGTATATATGTGCATATTGGGACAAAGGTGTACTAATACGCTGATGAATTTTCATGAGGATTTTTTAAAACACACACACAACTGGTTGTGGAGAAGTGAAGACTGGAACAATGAGAAATTAAGAGATTTTTGACAGTTCTGCCCAGCCTTAGTTGCAAGGCAAATTCCCATTTACAGTAATGTTGAGAGGTGTGTGTGTGTGTGTGTGTGTGTGTGTGTGTGTGTCTATCTTAAACATAGCTTCATTGCCAAATGCTGCAATAAATGGTTAATAAATGGAATTATATCACCAGGCCTACCTGCTGAGTAAGACTAACGAGTGGAGAGCTAGCAGGAATCCCAATTGGGCTACTCTTGAATATAGTTTCTTTGAACCTCTTGTAGGGTGGACTAAACTCGGCTCCAATTTTCTGAAACATCCTATTATCCTGGAGACTATTAAGGCACCTATAAAAATTTGGATGAATATACCGTAAATAAAAATAATAAGGATGACCCCTTTCAGCATGAGGATTTTTAAAAACACACACACAACTGGATGTGGAGAAGTGAAGACTGGAACAATGAGAAATTGAGAGAGAAATTTTGACAGTTCTGCCCAGCCTTAGAAGAAGAAGAAGAGTTTGGATTTGATATCCCGCCTTTCAGTCCCTTTAAGGAGTCTCAAAGCGGCTAACATCCTCCTTTCCCTTCCTCCCCCACAACAAACACTCTGTGAGGTGAGTGAAGCTGAGAGACTTCAGAGAAGTGTGACTGGCCCAAGGTCACCCAGCAGCTGCAGGTGGAGGAGCGGAGATGCGAACCCGGTTCTCCAGATTACGAGACTACTGCTCTTAACCACTACACCACACTGGCTCTCTTAGTTGCAAGGCAAATGTTGAGAGGGTGTGTGTGTGTGTGTGTGTGTGTGTGTGTGTGTGTGTCTATCTTAAACATAGCTTCATTGCCAAATGCTGCAATAAATGGTTCTACAATAAATTGTAGAAGAAGCGGGAAGCCCACCCACCCTTTGCTCCCTGAAAGCCAGGCTTCCTGTGTCTGCCAGTGTCTTACCTCATTCCCCTCACGGCATTTACACACTCTGGTTGAGTGATTGCCCGAATGTCCTGCATCGATTTGCTTCTACGTGGCACACTTGTCTCTGCTTTATCATTTCTGGGTCTTGGATTAGTTCTGTGCCATGAAACCTCTCTGAGACACTTGGTGTGAAAGATGGAGCGGAGGATAACATTTTGTGTCTTGCTTCCCCCTCTCCCTTCCCAATACCTCTCAGGAGTTGATTTACTCATTAATCCCATGGAAAAGAAAATTTCGTTCCTGCTAGTTCAAGTGAATCACAAACTATTAGATGGGCTTTGTACTTGTCCCAAACTCTCTCTCTCTCTATCCCACCCCCGTTTTCTCTCACACACTGTGTTTGTATGCAGGTGTGTGTACATATGGATTTGAGTAGAATTGAATTGAGATTTGGCAGAGACCAGTCTTCTATCCTCATCTTCCATGTGCCGTTTTTACACCGGTTGAAAACCAGTGACAGGAGAAGGACTGTGGGTGCTTTGAGGCGGGGATCTATTTGCAAACGGGCTGTTTAGTTATTTAGCAAGGTTTGTTTGCCAATATTATACCACCTTGTGAATACAGATATTGTTTATGTATTTTGTTACGTGAGTTGTGTGACATGGTTTCATTGCAATTATTGCATAGATAGAAGATAAAGATATAGATTGTGATCTGCATAATTATTATTATTTATTAAATTTGTCTACCACCCTACATTCGTGGATCTCAGGCTGGATCACAACGTAAGATAGCAAGCGGTCTATAAATGGATAAACAAATGCATGCAGCCATAGATCAGCTGGTTGCTGATTCCTGGACCGACCATAGCCCAGCTTTAGAAGGTGATTGGGCCTCATCCAGCCCCCGGGCCTTAGGTGGTCTACCCATGGGATAAACCATAATCTATGGCCCATTGTCCCTTTCTTTTCTTTCTTTTCTTTTTAAATTTTATTAACATATAAAACACATACATATACATTTGCACAATATACAACACACTACCTTATTTTCATAACATAAAACTCTATATACATTACTCTATATAATACCTACCTATACTGTACATATCAACATACCTACACACCTACCCCACACGGACACCCACCAAGTGACTTGACTTCCAGCCGTTCTTGTAACGCTACTTTATTTTTCCAACTAGCTTAAACACATTTTATTATTTCTTTAATCTCTTCTTCTATCTTGACCTTCTTTTCCTTTCACTGTCCCTTTCAAGAGATTGTGGGGATAATCTGACCTTATTCTATGCCATCCTTTCTGGGAGATCAACACAGCAGTGATTCCAGTTTGCCATTCAGGAAGGAAGGGAAAGAGAATCAGATTTGAGTGTCATCTACTACACAACTGATGACAGAGATACAATTGTGATCAGAGAGGGCTACGTGTTGTCACCCTCTGGCTGCTAGGTTAAGGCCATATAACTGAAGTGAGCTGAGTTCCCACCAAGTGCATTTTGTGAGTTATTATTTGATTTTGTTAATATAACGATGCACGTCACCTGTTCAGAGTCTCTTAAGAGCCCACAATGAGATTGAGAAGTGGTTGTCAGTTCACCAATTATCATCTATTAAGCTAGCCTCTTGTTCCATGGGATGATGCATAATGGTACTTCAACCCTACATATGTGTTACACAGGAAAGCGAAATCTGTCGTACGCCATCTACTCAACAGCAATCAGATGTAGTAGGACACACCCAAACCACAGAACTGGTAATTTAGAGCAGGCGAAACCACCCTTCCCTTGTAGAATCATAGAATCATAGAATCATAGAGTTGGAAGAGACCACAAGGGCCATCGAGTCCAACCCCCTGCCAAGCAGGAAACACCATCAGAGCACTCCTGACATATGGTTGTCAAGCCTCTGCTTAAAGACCTCCAAAGAAGGAGACTCCACCACACTCCTTGGCAGCAAATTCCACTGTCGAACAGCTCTTACTGTCAGGAAGTTCTTCCTAATGTTTAGGTGGAATCTTCTTTCTTGTAGTTTGGATCCATTACTCCGTGTCCGCTTCTCTGGAGCAGCAGAAAACAACCTTTCTCCCTCCTCTATGTGACATCCTTTTATATATTTGAACATGGCTTTCATATCACCCCTTAACATCCTCTTCTCCAGGCTAAACATGCCCAGCTCCCTTCTCCGGGCGACTTCACCTAAAAGTGTTCATCCGCACTGAGGCATTGGGCCTGAAGGACCCTGTTCTTCTCTACCCTTTCCCCTCAGCACACGTCCTTGGGATTAGGAAGTCTTATCCTCACGCAACTCTTTATCTCACATAGCACAACTTACTCAAGTCATGCTCAAAGACGCCTCACCAGAGTCTTCCGGTTGAACCTTATATGCAAAGGCATATAACATAATGAAGTTCTGGCCGTGTTTGGCACTGCTGTGTGTGTGTGTGTGGATGAGAGGGGACCATTTTGTGGAGAAAAACGGCTGGCGGGGAAAGAGTCAAGCAGGGCCAGCCCAAGACATTTTGGCACCTGAGGCAAAACCACAAAATGGCGCCTCCCTTCCCACTTGGAAAGAAAGAGTGAGTGAATATCCACTTCAAGAACAAGGGGTGGAATATAGATCTACATCAGGATCTGCTGCCGCTAGGGATTCTGCCACTTCAGACACTCGCTTCACCTTGTCTCATGGGTGGGCTGGCCCTGGAGTTACCGTATTTTTCCGTGTATAAGACACCCCCATGTATAAGATGACCACTATTTTTTTAACCCAAAATTAAGAAATTAAGTTGCTTAACTTTTTTGGGGGGTGGGGGAAGTCACTTCTGCCAATGGCTCACCCGCCCGCCCACCACTGCTGATCGCTTGCCGCAGCCACTGCCAATCACACACCTCACTGCAGCTGCCAATTGTCTACCCTGTCGCTGCCACCAACAGCCCACCTGCCCACTTGCTGCAGCCGCCAATCTCCTGCCCAATTGCCGCAGCCACAGCCAATCACCAGCAGGCCTTGCCGCAGCCACCAATGACCCGCCCAATCGCCGCTGCCAATCTCCTGCTTGCTGCAGCCATTAATCTGCATTCATAATAATAATAATAATAATAATAATAATAATAATATATTAATTATACCCCGCCCATCTGGCTGGGTTTCTCCAGCCACTCTGGGCAGCTTCCAACAAAACACTAAAATACAATAACCTATTAAACATTAAAAGCTTCCCTAAACAGGGCTGCCTTCAGATGTCTCCTAAAAATTTGGTAGTTATTTTTCTCTTTGACATCTGATGGGAGGGCGTTCCACAGGGCGGGTGCCACTACAGAGAAGGCCCTCTGCCTGGTTCCCTGTAACTTGGCTTCTCTCAGCGAGGGAACTGCCAGAAGGCCTTCGGCGCTGGACCTCAGTGTCTGGGCAGAACGATGGGGGTGGAGACACTCCTTCAGGTATACTGGACCGGGGCCTTTTAGGGCTTTAAAGGTCAGCACCAACACTTTGAATTGTGCTCGGAAATGTACTGGGAGCCAGTGTAGGTCTTTCAAGACCGGTGTTATGTGGTCTCGGCGGCCGCTCCCAGTCACCAGTCTAGCTGCTGCATTCTGGATTAGTTGTAGTTTCTGGGTCACCTTTAAAGGTAGCCCCACGTAGAGTGCATTGCAGTAGTCCAAGCGGGAGATAACCAGAGCATGCACCATTCTGGCGAGACAGTCCGCGGGCAGGGAGGGTCTCAGCCTGCGTACCAGATGGAGCTGGTAGACAGCCGCCCAGGACACAGAATTGACCTGCGCCTCCATGGACAGCTGTGAGTCCAGAATGACTCCCAGACTGCGCACCTGGTCCTTCAGGGGCACAGTTACCCCATTCAGGACCAGGGAGGCCTCCACACCTGCCTGCCTCCTGTCCCCCAAAAACAGTACTTCTGTCTTGTCAGGATTCAGCCTCAATCTGTTAGCCACCATCCATCCTCCAACCGCCTCCAGACACTCGCTATCTGTGTATAAGACAACACCCAATTTTTGCCTAATTTTTTTTAACGCAAAAAAGCATAGTCTTATAGACAGAAAAACACAGTAAGCATTTTCTCGTTGCCACTTTTCTCCACCATTTTTGCCACCATTTTCTCCTCCAAGACCTGTTTTTCTTGAATTCCCACTAGCATTCACTTCCCCCCTACTGCACAGAGCCCTTATCGGAAGCCCCGTGATTTTAAAGCAGGCTATACATTTTGCTAAATAAATAATACTAATTGGTAGGGCCACTGTGAGAGGCTTCTCCTGCACGCTCCCCCCCCCCCACTCTGTCAAGAGACTACGTAGCATCTTTAAGTACACAGAATATTGACATAATAATGAAACGTACTACATAGCTTAGTAAGTAGCATTTAATGATAACAAATTCATTAATAACCACGGATGCCAATATACTAGGCAGGCAAATCTACTATAATGGGATGCAAAAGGAATATCTTGCAATCCCTGCAAATTATGACTCATCATAGATCTATAAATATGATTTGCATTTATTAAAATTAAGAGCAGGAGTGATCAAACATTTGCATAATTCAAATAAGAAGCTCTTGAAATAATTAATGGCTCATTTACTCACATAGGTAACCTACCTGAATTTATTCCTTTCTTGCTGAGTTGGATAGCTCAGTTGGTTCGAGCGTGCTGCTGATAATGCCAAGGTCGTAGGTTCAATTCCCATATGGGATGGCTGCATATTCCTGCATTGCAATGGGTTGGATTAGATGATCCTCAGGCTTTCTTCCACACTACAGTTCTGTGATTCTATGATGTTGGTAAGCTTAATAACTAGAGAGTTCCAGAAAGACATCTACTTCTGCTTCATTGACTATGCAAAAGCCTTTGACTGTGTCGACCACAGCAAACTATGGCAAGTTCTTAAAGAAATGGGAGTGCCTGATCACCTCATCTGTCTCCTGAGAAATCTCTATGTGGGATAAGAAGCTACAGTTAGAACTGGATATGGAACAACTGATTGGTACAAAATTGGGAAAGGAGTACGACAAGGCTGTATATTGTCTCCCTGCTTATGTAACTTATATGCAGAATTCATCATGCGAAAGGCTGGGCAGGATGAATCCCAAGCCGGAATTAAGATTGCCGGAAGAAATATCAACAACCTCAGATATGCAGATGACACAACCTTGATGGCAGAAAGTGAGGAGGAACTAAAGAACCTTTTAATGAGGGTGAAAGAGGAGAGCGCAAAATATGGTCTGAAGTTCAACATCAAAAAAACGAAGATCATGGCCACTGGGCCCATCACCTCCTGGCAAACAGAAGGGGAATAAATGGAGGAAGTGAGAGATTTTACTCTCTTGGGCTCCATGATCACTGCAGATGGTGACAGCAGTCACAAAATTAAAAGACACCTTTTTCTTGGGAGAAAAGCAATGACAAACCTAGACAGCATTTTAAAAAGCAGAGACATCACCTTGCCAACAAAGGTCCGTATAATTAAAGCTATGGTTTTCCCAGTAGTGATGTATGGAAGTGAGAGCTGGCCTATAAAGAAGGCTGATCGCCGAAGAATTGATGCTTTTTAATTATGGTGCTGGAGGAGACTCTTGAGTGTCCCATGGACTGCAAGGAGATCAAACCTCTTCATTCTGAAGGAAATCAGCCCTGAGTGCTCACTGGAAGGACAGATCCTGAAGCTGAGGCTCCAATACTCTGGCCACCTCATGAGAAGAGAAGACTCCCTGGAAAAGGCCCTGATGCTGGGAAAGTTGGAGGGCACAAGGAGAAGGGGACGACAGAGGACGAGATGGTTGGACAGTGTTCTTGAAGCTAACAGCATGAGTTTGACCAAACTGCGGGAGGCAGTGGAAGACTGGCGTGCTCTGGTCCATGGGGTCACAAAGAGTCGGACACAAATAAACGGCTAAACAACAAATTTATTAGTGCCCATGTGCAAATGGAATCGAAATGAAGCTCCCTACCTTTAAAGCAAGCAAGCACACCAGAGGGAGCTGCCGAAGCTGCCAGGTGCTTCTCTCAGCCGCTCTGTGCAAAATGGCGGCAACTCGACTGCTCCTCTCCGCTCTCCCTCAACCCTTGTGCCAGGATTTTCTTTCTGGCTGCTCCCCAAGTCTCATCCCTTCCAGTGTCTGCCCTTCTCCCCCTTCCTCGGGGCTCACTTGGTGGGAACGCTGCCTTCTCCCACTATTTGATGGGGTGGCCCAAGGGAGAGGGGCTGGCAGGACATTTCACTGACTGAAGCGGAGGCCAAATGGTGACCACCAACACAGTCGAGCTCCACCATCCCGATGGCGGTTCCCTCTTTCGTCTACTTCTCCCTCACGGTGTCCCCTGAGGCAAGTCTCTTCACCTTGCTGTAGTGCAAGACTGTCTCTGGAAGGAAGAAGAAGAAGAGTTTGGATTTGATATCCCGCTTTATCACTACCCGAAGGAGTCTCAAAGCGGCTAACATTCTCCTTTCCCTTCCACCCCCACAACAAACACTCTGTGAGGTGAGTGAGGCTGAGAGACTTCAGAGAAAAGTGTGACTAGCCCAAGGTCACTCAGCAGCTGCACGTGGAGGAGCAGGGAATCGAACCCAGTTCACCAGATTACGAGTCCACTGCTCTTAACCACTACACCATGCTGGCTGCAGCAGGATTCTTCAAGGGCAAGGCTGGGGCTTCCAAACTGGGGCTGACGGTCTTTCTCCACCTCCCTCCCCTGCCCCCTCTCTGCCATCGTTTGCTCATTTTATTTCTAAAGTTTTATTAATGCGCTTCAACAGCATAAATTACGTGCGGGAGAAAATACAACCACATACATAATAACCAGCCACTCGTTTTTGTAGTTCTTGGGCTTGGTACAATAATGTATCACCTTTACGTTAATTAATCTTATTTTCAAATTAATAACTGAATCATTTTTATACTCCATTTTTTAAAAGAATACAACAACCCAAAGGCAAAACACCTCATCCCCTGTGGGAAAAGGCACATAAAAATCAAAGCAGACAATTAATTAAATTAAAGCGATGGATCACAGAAAATGGCATTTTACAGAAATGATCTCTGTAGTTTCAGGGCTGCTAAGGAGGTTAGATACTGCCTATCTTTCTCATTTGTGCATGAAATCATAGAATCATAGAGTTGGAAGAGACCACAAGGGCCATCGAGTCCAACCCCCTGCCAAGCAGGAAACACCATCAGAGCACTCCTGACATATGGTTGTCAAGCCTCTGCTTAAAGACCTCCAAAGAAGGAGACTCCACCACACTCCTTGGCAGCAAATTCCACTCTCGAACAGCTCTTACTGTCAGGAAGTTCTTCCTAATGTTTAGGTGGAATCTTCTTTCTTGTAGTTTGGATCCATTGCTCTGTGTCCGCTTCTCTGGAGCAGCAGAAAACAACCTTTCTCCCTCCTCTATGAGACATCCTTTTATATATTTGAACATGGCTATCATATCACCCCTTAACCTCCTCTTCTCCAGGCTAAACATGCCCAGCTCCCTTAGCCGTTCCTCATAAGGCATCGTTTCCAGGCCTTTGACCATTTTGGTTGCCCTCCTGTGCACACGTTCCAGTTTGTCAGTGTCCTTCTTGAACTGTGGTTCCCAGAACTGGACACAGTACTCCAGGTGAGGTCTGACCAGAGCAGAATACAGTGGCACTATTACTTCCCTTGATCTAGACGCCATACTCCTATTGATGCAGCCCAGAATTGCATTGGCTTTTTTAGCTGCCGCGTCACACTGTTGGCTCATGTAAAGTTTGTGGTCAACCAAGACTCCTAGATCCTTTTCACATGTACTGCTCTCAAGCCAGGTGTCCCCCATCTTGTATTTGTGCCTCTCATTTTTTTTGCCCAAGTGCAATACTTTACATTTCTCCCTGTTAAAGTTCATCTTGTTTGTTTTGGGCCAGTTCTCTAATCTGTCAAGGTCGTTTTGAAGTGTGATCCTGTCCTCTGGGGTGTTAATAATAAAGGCATGGAAATCTCTTGCCCTTCCTCAGCCTCTCATTAATCAGATCTCCTGTGTTATTTTTTTCTCCAGCCATTGCAGTTTTCCAAATGCCCCTTTACCACAGTGCTATGTTTAGCCATTGGTTTGAAAGTCAGGAGAAAATGGCCACAAGTGAGTTCTTTTAAAAACCCACAAAAAACAGCTCACGTGTTGCTGCAACTATGACATCCAATGGAAGCTGTGTGGCAGGATTCACTGGGCCAAAGATTTTGGGTATAATATACAGCTGAGTGATTGGGTGAAATTATGGAAGGAAGGTTTAAAATTTACTGCATGCAATGCCCTAAAAGAAAATGTGATGAAAATGATGTATAGATGGTATATTACACCTGTCAAGTTAGCGAAAATGTATATAGTCAGTAATAAATGTTGGAAATGTAAAGAAAAAGAGGGAACATTTTATCCCATGTGGTGGGAATGTAAAAAGGTGAAATGCTTCTGGGAGCTGATATATAATGAAAAAAATGTTGAAATATACATTTATAAAGAAACCAGAAGCATTTTTATTGGGCATTGTGGGGAGTGACATAAATAGAAAGGAATGTAAGCTCTTTTTATATGCAGTAACAGCAGCAAGAATATTATTGGCCCAAAAATGGAAGCAAGAAGAGTTACCGACGATTGAAGAATGGAGGATGAAGTTAATGGACTATGCAGAATTAGATAAACTAACAGGAAGGATTCGAAACTGGTGAGACCAGAAATTCACGGAAGACTGGAGTAAATTTACGGACTATTTGAAAAGTAATTGTGAAGAACAGACGACGTTTGTAGGGTTGCAAGAAGTTTTGTGAGGAGTATTATTAGAAGTATTGTAAAAATGGACAAGGGGGAGGATGATTTGTTAAGAGATGTAAAGGCAATATAAAGTTAAGAAATGCATAAGAAGTGGTTAAAACGGTGGATCATCAGAGGTGCTGATGGGAGTCTAAAAAGATTGTACAGTGGTGCCCCGCAAGACGAATGCCTCGCAAGACGAAAAACTCGCTAGACGAAAGGGTTTTGCGTTTTTTGAGCTGCTTCGCAAGACGAATTTCCCTATGGACTTGCTTCGCAAGAGAAAACGTCTTGCAAGTTTGTTTCCTTTTTCTTAACACCGTTAATACAGTTGCGACTTGACTTCGAGGAGCAACTCATAGAATGCAGTGTGGTAGCCTTTTTTGAGGTTTTTTGAAGACTTTGGTGATTTTTGAAGCTTTTCCAAAACTTCTTTTGCAGCCATTTGGTAAGTTAAACTTTTAAAACTTTTTGGGGGTTTTTGGATTTTGGGTTGGGGTGTTTGGAATTCAAGGACTTGGTGTTGGGGAGGGGTTTGCAAGAATCTGGAAGCTTGTGGGGGTTTTTCCTGCATTTTTATGATTTTCTGTGACCATTGGGCCACTCTGCTTTTTTTTAAAAAAAATTCTGGATTTGAATTTCTGTGTGGTGGGTGGCTGGGGGAACAGTTGAGGAGGGGGTTCTTCAGCAAGAAGCAAAGAGTGGAAGAGGAACCTTCTTCGAGTTGTCCCCCAGAGTCTTAGAAAATGTACTGTACACTTTGTTGATTTTTACATGTTTTTCTGTCATGTTTAGAAACTTAATTTATTGTTCCTTCAATTTTTGAAATGCTCTTTACAGTATGTGTGACTTTAAAGAGCACTTAATAAATGCTTGTTGTACCAAATTTGGCTTTGTTTGGACTTTTTTTGACCATAGGAACGCATTAATTGGATTTCAATGCATTCCTATGGGATTTCGTGCTTCGCAAGACGAAAAATTCGCTAGACGAAAAAACTCACGGAACGAATTAATTTCGTCTTGCGAGGCACCACTGTATAAGCGATAAGTTTTGTGGTACATTTTATAATTTATATGTTAAAATTAATAAAAAATATTATTTAAAAAAAGGAAGCTGTGTGGCAGGGTGAGGCGCTGGATTTTGGCGTCGCACAGGGCCAAGGTCCACCATTGCTGGCACCTGCAGGGTCTCCCTCCCCTCTGAAATTAAGCTCAAAAGAAGTGTTATGCTGTAGCTAGTAGACTAGAATATATTGTGGTGTGTGCTTGGTTGAGGGGACGGTGCGATGCCCACGACAGTTTCACCTTTTTGCAAATGTGCCCACTGCCCCTCTCCAAAAATGTGGGCGAATCCATCGTCTGGATTCTCTGCCTTTACTGAGTAAACAAAATCAATTTCACAGAAAAGGGCTGGCGTGGCCAGGAGGAGAAAACAGCTGAGGTAAAATGTGAGGAATTTATTTGCTCTTGTTGCTGACGCCGTTGGTACCCTGACGTTTGGTACCCTGAATTCTCGTGCCGCCACATCCCAGATGGCTCTCAGTGGTCACACGTAGGCGGGAACCTGCATTTTGCGAGCTACAAAATACAGCTTGAGTGTTAGGGGAAAGTGTGCAAAAGAAACACAACCTGAAACGCAAGACGAAATGTGTTCAGAGCATATAATTCTGCCAAGGAGCTCTCTGTCAAAATCCACTAAGGGACCTTTACATGTTATGCAACCATGAATCTGGATTTGCAACCACACATGAAATTGACAAGGAGCCCTCTGAAGGGCACACTCTACTGAATCCTCTGACTACTCCATCACAGCATTGACACATCATGCTTTTGGGTGTATATTTCAACAGCTATGCATTTTAGGGTGAACAATTGCAGCCCGTGAAGTGGCCCTGAGGCCTGCATGCTGATGAGACGAATGATTTCTGGAAAGGCCGGAAAACTCACAGATTCCACTAGCCATCCGTTGGTGTTTTTCTGTATAGAGTCCACTTGATGGAGCTCCAGGTTAACAGACTACAGATTCTCCAGTCCAGATAATCAGCTCCACATCCTCCTGTTTTCTCCAGCTCTGGATAAAGCACAATGGCTGAATTATCGCCCATTCTTCCCGCTCAAGGCTTCATCACCATTTCTATCGATTATCACACACCACTGGAATGGAAGGCGCACATGCGTGTGCCCCTGTCAGTGAACCTGGTCCTCTAATTTTTGTGCTGATGACTAGCTAGCGTCATCGGTGGAATGGAGTGGAACATTTCAACAGGTATCCTGTTTTCCTTTAGCACGAAGGCAGCGCTCTTGTTGGGACTGGCCAGCTTTACATGCCTTGCCTAAATGGCTTCTTGGGGGTGCAAGATTTAACGGTGATTCAGCTGCTGCTTTGTAGGTCAGCCTGCCTGTTGCTTTTCAATATTTTACTTCCCACCATCTGCTCCTGACCTTCCCTTCCTGGATGTTAGGCACCAAGAATCATAGAATCATAGAATCATAGAGTTGGAAGAGACCACAAGGGCCATCGAGTCCAACCCCCTGTCAAGCAGGAAACACCATCAGAGCACTCCTGACATATGGTTGTCAAGCCTCTGCTTAAAGACCTCCAAAGAAGGAGACTCCACCACACTCCTTGGCAGCAAATTCCACTGTCAAACAGCTCTTACTGTCAGGAAGTTCTTCCTAATGTTTAGGTGGAATCTTCTTTCTTGTAGTTTGGATCCAGTGCTCCGTGTCCGCTTCTCTGGAGCCGCAGAAAACAACCTTTCTCCCTCCTCTATGTGACATCCTTTTATATATTTGAACATGGCTATCATATCACCCCTTAACCTCCTCTTCTCCAGGGCATTTATTTTATTTATTTATTTATTATTATTTATTATTTATTTTATTTATTTAAAAGAACCGGGCATTTATTTAAAATGCAGGAAACAATAAACTCATATGTTTTAGAGGTACAAATCAATGGATGGTCGGGACAGCTAATAAAACGAGTTCGACAATTTAAGCAGGTTATAGATTGAAAGGATAACTTAATGGAAAGCATTTCTCGACAGCCAACCCCCCCCCAACCATCCTCCAGCCACATTCTGGCATGTCCGTTTGCCCCCAAATCGGTTTTGTGGACTGGCCCCAGGCCTCCCTAGTTAACCAGCCCATCACAGGCCGGATTGGCTTCTTGCCACCAAATGGGCCAATGGTGGCGGGGGTTAGGGGGCACTCCCCTGGGCGTGGGACCAGCCGACCAATTGTGACTGTTGGCGTATGCAAGTTTAAATGCCTGGCCTGTGGGGCCTTTCTGTCTCTCTCTCGCTGTGGCAGTTCTTCTGTCCACCCTCCCTCAGATTAGGGTTTTTCTCGGATGGTATGACCTTGCTATGGACAATGTGGGTCGCCTAATTTTCAGGGGCCGGGCAGGAATTTTCCCCACTTGGCTAACTGGCACCACCATTTGGGTTTTCGCCTACCTCATAGCAATCGTCACAACTTAGGAAGGCGGATAGGCATTGGGTAAGCCTAGTCTTGGTTTGAGGGGAGGTTGTAGCCTCTGCCTGCCCCTCCACAGGTAAGGGAATCCTGTTAAAAGGATCTGGGAGGAATGGCTCCTGTCCAATGTGCAGACCACTCCTCCAATGGGGACTGCTTGGGGGATGCCCTGATTTGACTTAGGTCATAGGGTGTCCCCCCCCCCCAGCTTCACCCTTAGAAACACTCCCAGAGGGCGGGCAGGAGTGGCATGTGCCATTGCTTACCACAAAGCCTGTGGCCAAACCTCACATCTGTAACCCATAAAGCTGTTATTTGATTCCCAAAACCAATATGCCATGTGTTGTCTAGCTATTTGCACCATGGGGAACAGGGTGGTCTTGGGGCCTCAATACGCAAGCTTAGCTTTGAATGTTCTAATCACATTGCCATTGGTTTTCTTACATATTCCATTCTTACTCAATTCATAGCACCCTTGGTTTCCTTAATGGGCCTGATCTTCATGGCAGTATAAGCGCTGATGTCAGTCTTCCATTGGAATCTGGACGTTTTCCACAAGTTTCATCGCCCGATTTCACCATGAAGATTTGTGTAACTCGAAACATGAGCATGAAAACAGACAAACATGCCATGCATACTTACATTTTAACAAGGCATGTTTGTATACAAGGAAGACGCATAGGACTTTCAGCTATAGCTTCTTCCACACTGGTTCTCATCACACACACACACACACACACACACACCTTGATAAGACACATTTATAGAGGGATTTAAACTTCGAACAGCTCCTGGAATTTTGTTAAATTTGGTGTTAGCATTTCATCTATTTAATGGCTCCATGCTCCTTTCCTGCCAGGTCTAAGAGATCCAAGTTTCAGTTGGAGAGGTCCCTACTTTCCAGTATCGCTGGCAATTCTCTTTGCTCTTATGATCTCGTGCCCAACCAGCGTTTCCTCCTTCCTTTAATTCCTTAGTCAACACGAAGATCACTTAAATGAGCAAAAACTGATTTCAGCTTCATTAGTTCTGGAAATTCGTCTTTGGTGGCCCTTAGCACCCCCAGGTACATGGCGTGATTTTGCAGGGCTGTATGTGGGATGCCTGTTGTCCTTGACTGCTGTATACGGCAAGGCTGTATATTGTCTCCCTGCTTATTTAACTTATATGCAGAATTCATCATGCAAAAGGCTGGGCTGGATGAATCCCAAACTGGAATTAAGATTGCCGGAAGAAATATCAACAACCTCAGATACGCAGATGACACAACCTTGATGGCAGAAAGTGAGGAGGAACTAAAGAACCTTTTAATGAGGGTGAAAGAGGAGAGCGCAAAATATGGCCTGAAGCTCAACATCAAAAAAACGAAGATCATGGCCACTGGTCCCATCACCTCCTGGCAAATAGAAGGGGAAGAAATGGAGGCAGTGAGAGATTTTACTTTCTTGGGCTCCATGATCACTGCAGATGGTGACAGCAGTCACGAAATTAAAAGACGCCTGCTCCTTGGGAGAAAGGCGATGGCAAACCTAGACAGCATCTTAAAAAGCAGAGACATCACCTTGCCAACAAAGGTCTATATAGTTAAAGCTATGGTTTTCCCAGTAGTGATGTATGGAAATGAGAGCTGGACCATAAAGAAGGCTGATCGCCGAAGAATGGATGCTTTTGAATTATGGTGCTGGAGGAAACTCTTGAGAGTCTCATGGACTGCAAGAAGATCCAACCTCTCCATTCTGAAGGAAATCAGCCCTGAGTGCTCACTGGAAGGACAGATCGTGAAGCTGAGGCTCCAATACTTTGGCCACCTCATGAGAAGAGAAGACTCCCTGGAAAAGACCCTGATGTTGGGAAAGATGGAGGGCACAAGGAGAAGGGGACGACAGAGGATGAGATGGTTGGATAGTGTTCTTGAAGCTACAAACATGAGTCTGACCAAACTGCGGGAGGCAGTGGAAGATAGGAGTGCCTGGCGTGCTCTGGTCCATGGGGTCACGAAGAGTCGGACACGACTAAACAACAACATGTGGGATGCATGGAGAACTCAGCTGACCAGCTCAGAGGGCAGGAAAAGCGTGGCTACTGACATTCTTTTGGTGCTCATGAGCAAATGGAAGCTTCCGGGAATGCCAAGTTAGCTGTTATATCTGACCTCTTTGTAGTACTTGTGGGAGGGAAGAGTTAAATTTCCCAGAAGAAACTAGAGCCAGGAAGGAACAGGACCCACCACTGTTAGCAAACACAACAAAAGCCACTTTTACAAGGTAATCAACTGGTAGCTTTTGTAGATAAATCTCCGGAACATTATAGCAGCCCCTGTTCACTAAGACAGAAGTAGTTGTGGAAATAAATAGAAAAGCCTCACACATTCCTATCCCCTTACACAATTTAAACAAATGTCTGCCATCCAAAAATGGCTGGCACCCAGGATTTTACCTAGGGTGGGAGGGTCAAATTCAAACCTACCTTACAGTATTTACAATTTTCAAAATAGTACCCAAAGCAAAATTCAGCTTCTCCAGATTACGTGATGCAAGTCTCCAGTGCCCCCAAAATATGTACCAAAATGCATGTATTAGGAGAAAGTATGGACTGAAATGCATATAGTAATGAAAAGGACATACAAACCTGTGTTGCATTGGAGAAAACTGCTTGCAAAATTGCATATCGAAATGTGTGCATTAAGAGAAATGAGTGCTCAAATGCTGGCACATTTTTGCGAGCGATTAAAACACACAAACACACACAAATAAATGGCAAACTGACGTGGAAATACTAAACAGAAAGCTTGAGAAAAGGAGGCGCTGATAGAAAATGGAATTGACAAGAGGCGTCTGTTCCTAGTTCTGGCATACGGACCAATTTCAGAAGGCATGTAACTACAGACCCTTAATTATATATAAATGGCTGCAGGGATTTGCTGACACGAAGACTAATGACATGTTCACCAGTGTTTCTCAAACTTTACAAACCTGGAGCTCATTCCTGTAGTCCCTTTATTTTGGATAGACAGAGACTCAGCACCCGTAATCTGTTCCACAGGTGAATTAAGGGAGATTCTCAGATGCAGTTGGCCGTACCCTGTTGCCTACTGCATGTGAGGTTCTGCAGACAGGGGTGCAAATCCAACATTGTCATGAGAAGAGAATAGCCTGCCCATTAGGGGGAAAAATAGAGAAAGGAACTCCAGATGCTTGAAGAAAAGCAGTATCTCCACCACCAACACATTTCAAAACCACCCTTATATAGGGGCATGGCTTGAGTACTGATTAGTTATACAGTGGTACCTTGGGTTACATACGCTTCAGGTTACAGACTCCGCTAACCCAGAAATAGTGCTTCAGGTTAAGAACTTTGCTTCAGGACGAGAACAGAAATCGTGCTCCGGCGGCGCGACAGCAGCAGGAGGCCCCATGAGCTAAAGTGGTGCTTCAGGTTAAAAACGGACCTCTGGAACGAATTAAGTACGTAACTAGAGGTACCACTGTAGTAGTGTGGTTTATGCACTTTGGGGAGAATGAGCCATACCCCAGAGGAAGACTTATTCTGATACTTTCCTAGTTTTGTGGTTGCTTCTCTGCCCTACCATTAGACAAAGTGAGGCAGCTGCACTCCAGCAGCTGATCTGGGTGTCACGAAATAGCAACAAATGGTTGAGTTACTTCCTTTGACCAGGCTGCCATGCACCTTGGCTTGGAGGTCGGGTGCCATTGACAGTGCTGCTTCAGGCAGCAAAATGTCTTGGGCTGCTTCTGATTGTGGAGCACCTTGTCAAGAATGCTCTCGGAGTTGAGATTTGGTACATGAATGGCACAGTTAACGTGCCATGGTTGCTCATTTGGTTCTTTGCGATGAGGGTCAGATCTCTCCAGAAAGAAGGAGGCTGTTTCTAAGAATAACAACAAGGAGTCTTATGGCACCTTAAGGACTAACAGATGTAGTATATGGCATACGTTTTCATGAACTACATGTTAAAGGTAAAGCGACCCCTGACCATTAGGTCCAGTCGTGGCCGACTCTGGGGCTGCGGCGCTCATCTCGCTTTACTGGCCGAGGGAGCCGGCGTACAGCTTCCAGGTCATGTGGCCAGCCTGACTAAGCCACTTCTGGTGAACCAGAGCAGCGCACGGAAACGCCGTTTACCTTCCCGCTGGAGCGGTACCTATTTATCTACTTGCACTTTGATGTGCTTTCGAACTGCTAAGTTGGCAGGAGCAGGGACCGAGCAATGGGAGCTCACCCCGTCATGCAGTGGTTTAACCCACAGCGCCACCCGCGTCCCGAACTACATGTTATATGTATATGTATATATGTATATGTATATGTTATATGTATATAATATGCCTTACACAAATAG